GCCTCAGGAACAGAGGCTTCTTCCCCGGGATGCTGGCTTCCAGCAGCCCACTCTGTCCTCCAGACTGAAGGAGAACCAGCCCCCCCAGAAAGACACCCCTGCACCCTGGATCCCCCCCAGCCCCACTTCCCCCAGGGCAACAGGTGCCAGGCGGTGAGTGGATGCAATATGCATTGGCACAGGGATTTTGAGATGAGGTTTTCTGCAGTCCAGTCCTGCTTTTTGAAAGATGGTGTAGTTTCATTACACCGAGGGCTTAAGCACATCTGAAGAATATACCCCACTCTTATCTACCTCTTTCCTCCTTTCTTTTGCTTTGATCACTGTTTTTAAGTCCAGTTCATGAAGAATTTATCTCCATGCTAGGTTTACTGAAAATGTGTTCTTTGCCGAAGCAAAACAAGCTCTCAGGTCTGCAGAAAAGTAGCAGAACATTTGCAATCACCTGCTGGCCCCCTGATGTCAGTGTCCTGAGTGACGTCTCTAAATGCTGAAATTATTTGTGTCACAGGGCTTCTCGGAAAAAAGAGGGAGCTGGAGTTCACTTCTGCCCACAGAAAGTGTCTGCTGCCCCCCCTGTGCTGGAGGAAACTCCAGGAAACAGCCTGGGGCTAGACAGGAAACAGCAAGCTCACAGGGAGGCCCTCAGGTCTGAGCGTTGATTCTCTCATGTCATGCTGATGCTTGAGAAACCCACTCATGCTACTGAAAGATTGTCTGCCGCTGGTTTTGCAGTCATAGAAAAGCTGTCTTTCTTCCTTTCTCATACCTGGAAGGATGTCATTGTTGTGATCATCCTGGAAGATGTTCAGCCACATTGGCTCACTAGCAGCAAAACCAGTTGCTCCCTTTATTAAAAGCTTTTTATAGCATAAATAATTCATTCACAGTGCCTACAGTCCTTCATTCCATGGTAGTCAATAATCAGGGCTTTTGGTTTTCATTCATGCTTAAGTTTCTCAATTAATCAGTCTAATTGCTTCCAGAATGCTATTAATTTTAAGGTGTTTATTTCATGGTCCTTTAAAAATTCAAGCATATCTTTCATTTTTTCATTTGAAGTGTTAATTTCATTGATATTTATTGTATTTTAAAACATTCTTTGACCTTGAGGAAAGGGTGATTTTTAATCATTTAATTGTTTAATTAGACCAATCAAGTAATTGAAAAGTCAGGTGGAAAAATTTAAGGACTGGGTATTCTAGCATCAGGAGGCAGATTGTGACTTGTGGCTAATCTGGAAACGTTGATCCATTGCAATTTTGTGCTGCAGGCAAGCTTGGCTGGACAAGGAGACCACCCGTAGGCTGAAGGAGCTCAACCAGCTCAGCAGAGAAGAAGCAGAGCGCATCCAGAGACTCAGGTAAGAACCAGCTCACCTTTTTACACAGGGCAGAGCCAGAGCCCTGTATTTTGCTGATCTCCTAAACACCACAGTTCAGAATCCCATAGAGACGCTTAGCCTTGTTATTCCATCTATGATAAGCAAAGCTGTTTGTTAACAGCTGTGCTCCAAACAGAATTGGCCTGCCTCTAAATATTCACTGTAGTGTTTGGCAGGGAGGGACAATGCCCTGAAAAAAACATCCCTGCCTGCCCAAACACCTCCCAGGCCATTCTGTCACATTGTTAGCATGTCCCTCGGGATCTCAGCTCAGCTTGGCAAGCTCT